GAATCAAAACACAAAACTTTTTGTTCTTGGCAAAAATGTCAAGAACAATGAAGAACATTCATGAAAAACCCAAAAAATTTCCATGAACATTTTTCATCCAAAACCATTCAAACTTTAGGGAAATAACATATAACCAAACTAGGGTACATAGGGGTTCCAAAAGTCACTTGAAAACACTTTTAACAAGTCAAACAAGAACCCAAAAATCCACACTTTGGATTTGGCCGAAAATTCCCAAAAACATGGCACCAAATTTTAGCTCCAATATTCATGCTCATAAGAACTACATCTACAACATTTGAGATGGCAAATTTTCTAACAAAATTTACATTCAAAGAAACAAGAATAAAGCTTGTAACATATTACAACTTTTAAATCACAAACTATGAACCACAAAACCCAAAAGGATTCACCAACTACTAGACCTAGGCTCTGATACCACTTGAAGGGAAATATTTGTAAAAACATGTTCATTTGAATAACATCTATAGCATGCATTTAACAATTAAAAGGCGGAATCATGCTTGCATGCATTCAAAAACAAAACATTAACCATGAAATTCAAAGCCTAGTAGATTGGTGAACCAAGACTCAACTCAAAACAAAGTGAGTTGAAATTTATACCTTTGTAGATTCCTCTTTGCATAAGCAAAGGCTAATCACCCAAAGAGAGGGCCTTCATTCCTTGCTTCTTAGATCCATGGATTTGGATGGAAGAATATGGTTCTCCAAGTTCCCAAAATTGAGAACCTCTAAGTGTCTACACCAAGGTTAGATTGGAGAAGAAATGAGTGACCTTGGAGGAGTGGGATTGCTAGCTAATCCCTCCAAGGGGGCCGGCCACTTTAGAGAGAATGAGAGCTTTGTGTTCTCTCCAATTTCCTAAAAGAAACCCTTTTAATGAATTTTAGGCTATAAAGTTCTTTATATAGTCACTTCTTTAAATGACCTAAAGAACCAAAAAACCCTAATTCAACACACATGGCCGGCCACATAAGGGATTTGGGCTTTTGGGCCTTTGTGAATCTTTATTCATTAAATTGTCATACAACTTAAGTCAATGGGCTTGACGTTCGAAGCCCATTGGGCCTTAAGGTCCAAAACTATCCCGAGGTCTTTAACAAACTTATTCGTTTGATTAATTAACATATTAATTAATCCTTTGCCATAAATAATTAAACCATTTAATTATTCTTACTCATCTCCATCGTTTCTTCAATCTCCACCTTACACGGTGTACTATCCATTAGGTTCCTTTTAGCGAGGCAGAGGGCGATTAAAACTCTTTCAAATCGATTGTGAATTGAAACTTACTTTCAATTCTCCCTTTAGTGTTTATACACGTTTAGGGCTTCCACAAACCATGAGTGACACCTAGCAGCATATCATGGTTACCCAAGCTAATCAGAAGAGGTGGAGAACCTATTCAGTTTAGGATTACAAATGCAATACGGTCTTTCTCTAATACAATACTCTTGACCACATTGTTTGGTTTGATAGTTTATTCATGTCTACTATCCAATGTGATTCGTGTGCTTATATGATTACCTTGAATGTGATTTGGAACGACTTCCTAAATCTCATTCATACTCTGGCCAGAGATTTTTAATCATATCATAGAGTATTCTCCCTCAAACAGTTTGAAGGTTAGAGATCCCTTGTTGCGCATTCACTTGCCTCCATGGCTAAGTGGCTTAACCCCAACTATGCCGTGGACACCCTCCTTTTGGAGTGACTTTTGACATAATCAAAGATCAAGGACTTAACCACAAGACAACTATGATGCCTCAGGTCAAAGGACTACTTTGCATTATCCCAACCATGAGTTCTCATGTGACATGAATATGAGAACTCTTCGTTGATCGTGTTCAGTGAACTCATTCTCTATTGAGCACCTACGTACTTGTCTTGATGTCACACACACCAATGACTCGAGACTAGTCACTCTCCCTGAGAGAAGACACAGCACGTACTGATCTTAACGGACTGTCAATGCCTAATTGGCAATCCTATGATCAGGAACGTTTAGGATATGTCTACGAAAGAATGGTCTCATGAATCTAACTTCTTTAGATCGCATTCTCCCAATCACATATTCCTTGGACTTATCGTTTAAGCATATAACATTTATATGAGACGGCTCAAACAATAATCTTTGCCCTTGATATTAAACTAGATTAGTTTAACATGTGAAATGTCCGTAAAGTATCATCATATGATTGGTTTTAGGGCACATTTCCAACAATAACATTGTTTCATCATAGGACATGGGTAGGAGATTATCTATGCAATGCTTTCATTGAATCATCCACAATTCGGTTGTTCCATTTCTCAAAAATAGCTAAGCCACCCCCACAATTCCCTCACATTGTGGTTGCTTTTTAATGCTATCAATTACTCATTCATCATACTTAAGAAGTAGGTGCCAATGAAGGTGTTGTCTCTTTATCTATCTTTACTTCTAGGTTTTCAAGCCTCACAAGTCCTTTCTAAGGAGATGCACTTGTTGGCTACTTTTTTTTTCCTTAGCCCTATGAACATACGGAGTCACTTGTCTCCTCAATTAGGCTTCTAATTATCAAACCCAACATGATCTGAAGTTTCTTCCCTTTGCAGGAATACTTCTTTTGCCTTCACATATATTTGCAACATTAATATACTCATCAAGCAAATATACATATCAAGGAATCTTTCACCAATAGATGCTAAACAAACCGAGTGTTTCCATTCTCCAACCAAACCTACCATGACTTTGCCATTTGCTTTCATAAAATGAAAGCATCTGTATTTGCATGCAGAAGACTAATCATTGTGTAGGGCTTGGTTTTTCCAGGTAGGGAATGTTACTTTCCCAATAGAAAGATTTGGTTCGGCTTAGTTTCGTTCTCAAGCGATAATCGTTACTTTTCAAAATTGAAACAGTTTCTTCTTGTTTGCGCCATATCACCTTTTCATGAAGGGTCGCAACCCTTCATGGAGGTTTGCATAAAATTTAACTAACTTTCTCAGACAAACCGCTAATTCTTTATAACAAAAAGAAAATCACATCTCATATACATTCACGAGAATTAATGAACTTTTCAACCAATGTAAGTAGAGAAGATTATATACATCTCATATACAATAATGGCTGCACCAAATAACTTTTCCTTGTGAATACTCTTAAGGAAATAACCGTTTGTCAACTAGCACAAGATTATATACATCATTGTCACTTATATACAAGACAAAAGAAGTGCTATGCATGCTCTACTATTTCTTATTTTGAATCCAATCAAATCTTAATTAAATTCATTAACGGTATATGAATTTATGAATCACTTCATATATATGACATTAAGCATATGTAAAACCACAAAATTAACACATATATATAGTTGGTATGTTCTTGGAAACAATACATGTATGAATATAAAACATGTTGTCAACAAACACTTATGTAATTAATGCCAATGCGGAACTGATGACAAAATTATATCAACCAAACCTAAACTTTTCAATCAAAACGTAAACCCTTTCATGCGTAACTATTAAATAGAATAATATAAAAATGATTGTTGCAAAGAAACAAATTCAGTTTCTCAAACCAACCTTTTTTAATCAAATATAGAAAATAAACCAATAAACTTGTCTTAAGATTGTTGGAAAAAATTAGTTTTAATTGCTATATTAAATCACATATAAAATCAAGAAATAATTCATGCAATTATATATCAAAGTAATGCATGCACATGAGTAACCAAATTTAAATGAACATGATATAATGGACTAGGAAAACCTGGAAATACGGTGAAGGCAAGTGTTAGACACTTTGTCCTTAAGACAAGTTTACACCCCATTACGATGTTCATGGTTGATCGGCGCATGTCTCCCAAGATAAAACGACCATGTTCTTGTAATAGTAGCACTCCAAAACACAAGGCTCCAAGAACCACGATTGTGTTGAAAACTCTCTCATATGGACTCAATAAGGCTCTCTAATATTTAATGCATGCATTATATGTATGTTTGACGAAAAGTTCTTGTGTGATTATAAGGAGCTTCCCTATTTATAGATTATGAGATACCTTTTTGGAAAGCATGTGACCATTCATGAAGAGTCAAAAGTTGCAACTTTTCATTTCAGTAGATACATCTTTCTACCAAAAAACTCCACTTCTAATTTCCATTCAATTAATAAATTTAATATAATAATATTATTATTAAATTTTCCAACAAGTTCTTGTGCGAAATTGTAAATACATGTCAAGTAATAAACTTTAAGAATTGCAATAATGCAAATAATGTTTTGACATGAGATACCGACGTTGCCTTTTGGATATGACAGTGACTATTTGATGATACAACATGTTCACTCTCCACCATGGTGTTTTCCTTGTTGGGGTCCTTGAGGCATGTGAGTTCACATGAATTCTTATGTCTCAGTTAATAATGTGGTTAAGATTATTGAGTTAGAAAATGATCTAATTAAATTGTAATTCCAACCGGGTGTGTTCTCCAATGTAATCTTACATTGACTTCAATAGTCATGACACACAGTTACGTGTCGCCCATGTCAGTGGAGCCTTTTAATGAATAACCGCAAGGTAATGCTAGGGAGATTAAATTTGAAGACAAATTTTGTAAGCTAAATGATGTGTCATCAATAAGAATGAGCACGTTTATCAACATTTAAATAATAAACCAATCATCAACTTCTATGTCCTTTAGTTTCTAAAATTTTATTTACAAGTTTAGTCTCTCTAGCATTACCCATATCCACGTTGCCCTCCAAGAACTAAAAGAGGATTTAATTCATTTAAGTAATCATGTTAGCACCAATCACCACTTAAACTTCAAATTGTACATGTTAAAATTTGACACCAGATGGAACCCAACATTGACACCAAAACTCTCGTGCATGACACGTGATGCTAAAGGCGGAGTAGTGAGCCCAAATCCTGAAGGAAGGTAAACGCATTGGGCCACAAGCGCAATGGGAGACCTCAAATCTAGTAGTGTAGGGAATGTTACATTTACAAATTCTGAATTTGGAGTAAAACTCATATTTGTTTCAAATTTGAACACCAACACAGCAGCATGGATTCCTCATTTCAAAATCAATGAAAGTTAATACATTACATAACTCGTCGTTCATACACGAATACGAATGCTCCCCGGCTACAAAAGCCTTTACCTTGTTTCTCACTTGTATCCAACTACAACCGGGCATTTTCTTCACCCCTTGATCAACCATCATCATCCTAACCATTTCTGCTTCCTTCCATTGCCCGCTCGCACAATACAAATTTGACAGTGACACATAACTCGCCTCTTTATGCGGCTCTAGTATCTTCAGACTTTCGCCCAAACTTCTTCCAAATCCTATGTCCCCCTGTGCAGAACATGCCCCGAGCAGAGCTTCACATGAGCTGGTCTCACCACCACCTACTTCCGAGTACTTATCTACCAGTTCTTTTGCTTCTGCTAAGTAACCACCTCTGCCAAGCATATCCACCATGCATGTCACATGATCCATTTCGGGGGAAAGGCCATAAACTGATCTCATTGTTTCAAAAAGCACACGACTTTCCTCTATAAGCCCAGCATGGCTGCAACTCATCAGCAGGCCAATGAAGGTCACATTATCCGGTTTTACTCCATTTTCCACCATCTCTTCAAAAACCTGTACAGCTTGGATAGCTTGCCCATGCAATCCAAATGCAAATAACATAGCATTCCAAGATACTAGATCCTTGTCAGGAATATTACAGAATATACGGCCTGACCCTTCTAAATCCCCACATTTAGCATACATGTTAACTAAGCCATTCCCAATAAAGATATAAGCATGGAAGCCGTATCGAAGTATGCAACCATGTACCATCTTACCATGTCCAAGTACTGCCAAGCTTGAACATGCATGAAGGACAGCTCCAAATGTGAATTCATCTGGTTGCACTCCACTTCTCACCATATCCACAAAGAAGCTACCAGCTTCTTCTCCAGGTCCATTTTTTGCAAATCCAGCGATCATAGATGTCCAGGAAACAATATTCTTTTCAGGGGCCCGCTGAAATACAAGAAGTGCTTCGTGAGTATTCCCCACTTTCATGTAGGTATCAATCATGGCATTCCAGGACACTTGTGTTAGAGTTCCAATGGATTCAAAAATCCTTATTGCATTTTCATGGCAGCCTACTTCAGCATAAAAACTTAAAACCGAGTTCTTGACCTCTGCAGCTGAGCTCCAACCACTTTTAATGACAAGAGCATGTACCATGCAACCACACCAAAATTCTAATGCTTCAGCACAAGCATTCATGAGAGCACTGAAAGTCCATTGATCTGGCTGACACATACTCTCTGTCATCTCTTTCAACAAAGCCAAACAAGACTCCACTTCTCCATTTCGTGCATAACCAGCAATCATAATATTCCAAGCTATCTCAACCCTTTTTGGCATCATAGAAAACACTTCATGGGCAACGTCGAACTGAGCAGAGTTTGTCTGTGCAAATAAAAACGAACACCAAGACACCTCATTCCTACGTTTCATTTCTTCAAAAACTTTCCTAGCGCTCAAGGGATTCAAACACTTCCCATACATATCAATAAGCGCATTATTAACCGGCAAGTAAGACTGGTAACCCAAAACAGTAACTAGCGCGTGAATTTGGGTTCCACACTGAAGCTCGTATGCACCGGCACACGCACTTAAAGTTGCAGTGAGGGTAAAGTGATCTGGCCTAGTGTCAGAGATTCTCATGCACTGGAAAAGTGAGAGAGATTCATTATGAAAGTCCAGTTGCGTATAGCTAGTAAGCATTGCATTCCAAGCAATAGAGTCTCTGAAAGGCATTTCGTTGAAAATTTTGCGAGCACATGTTATTTGACCAGATCTTGCAAGGGCTACTATCTTTGACGTTGTATGAAACAAATTTTGAGTGCATATCATTCTACTTTAGGAGTTCTAAGACAAGCCCATTAATCTACAAAACCGTTTTGTGTAGGAAAATGCTGCCAGTAGCAAACAAAAAGTGTGAGATACATAAGATAAAGATTGATTACAGAAAGACTACCACAATAAAGCAATAAATCTGAGAAGTTGAATGCAGGCCGTAGGGAATAGAGCAAATATTCATGGCACAGCACAAGCTTAGGTAATAAAGAAAGATACCCCTGTACAGATTCATAATATAAGATTCAAATCCTAAATGCAGGAATCACTCTATTTTCTCCTCATTCACATTTGTACTTGTAGGTTTACAACCATCCTTGTAAAACTTTCATTTTATTAAGAGAAAAAGAAACACCATATTCTACAACAAGGCTTTCCCCAAAATATGAAGTAATAATTAAAACATATAAGTCCATTTTATCTGAACCCTGTATAAGTGCATTAGTTTTTCATTCACAATTAGTTATGACAGAATGTATCTTGAAATAAACTTCTCAACAAAGTTGTCACGCAGCCTAAACACAAGAACATTCTCTATATTAAAATATATCAGCTTTAAACACTCTGGGACTCTGGATTAGGCCCTTTTTTGTCGAAGTGAGGTTGAGAATTTAAGGAAAAATACGAGTCCAATAACAGAGAGAGTGTTAAGTACCCAAAACATGCCATGTATTGTAATCTTAGTGCTGTCTACATCAAGTCTTAAGACTCGAAAGAATCACTATGAAGTAGTGCAGCATGGTTGTTATACAGGCAAACGGAAAAAAACGTCAATATTGTTGTGGGTATTTGGAGACAAATTTGGAAATTCCAACTCTCACACAGGAAGGGTAAATGGTTAACATGCATTTCCTTGTTAGGTTGTTTAGATTGCATGACTTTTTTAACATATTTCTTCAAAGGGTGACTGTTTAAGGTGACTAGCATGAGTTTTTGCTCTAAATTTTGAGCTGACATACAGGGAAAAAATTAGCAAGAAAAACGATCACAACCAGATATGTTTGACAGACGAGTAAGTGATTCGTGAGTTGTGATAGCCAAGACTCAAGACTGGCAAGAGTACATTAGAGTTTACTCAGAATGTACATGAGGCATATATTAATCATGTAGACAACAATCGTGCTGGCAAAAGATTTGGGGAAGAACCAAGTCGATTAGTAAGTCCACGTCTAGTCGGTTGCATCCTGAATAGTGGAGATTTGAGTTTTACACGTTAAAATCATTGGCTTGTACATTACTGACTTGTGGAGCTTTGATTAAACAATTAAATTGAAAATATAGTAAATATACAGCAACCTGGGTTTGTTAAGACAATCCAGTTACATTTGTAATCTTTCCAACTATAATCAGTGTATGTTTGAACATATATGTGGGTTGAGCAATTTGTTCGTTACGGCTGAACAAAACGTAAACGTGAAGACTGAAGATGAAGAATAGATCCAAAAACTGGACTGGGGCTGGGGAAGCAACTAGGTTTGGGACCTGAGTCATCCATGGGGGGAAATATAAAACGTAAACCCTAAACCCTAAACCCCGGGTCAGAAGACTCAAAACCTAATCTCACTTGGCTAACTGCATTCTTGTGTTAACAATGAAAGAATAATAAACCTTTCAATACTGATAACGACAACAGGTTGGATGACGGAACAAATTACTAACTTTATTCCTTAAATGTTTCAGTCAAAAACAATGTACGAACATCCACAACTACTCAAAACTAACTAGTCATAGCTAAACCAATTACCAACAGAAAAAGCTCAAAGACATCTTGCAGAAATTAAAGCATGATTAACCATTAAAATTAATTTCCGAAAAGATGTAAAACAAACATGATAATCCAATAAATTGAAGGAAATGAGGATGATCACCTGGAAAGCTAGCTTGAAGGAGACAGATGGTGCTCACACTTATCAGGAAAAGATAGAATATGTGATAGTTACCCAATTCGCTCAAACCCGCTTCGAATTCCGGCGCCGCTGTGCTTGCGTCCTCATCGCTGCCTAAGCTCCGTTTGTGGAGGCTGGGGGTGGTGGATACAGAAACGGAGAGAGAAATGAGTTAATTACACTACATCTTTATCATATTTTCACAAGACCCCTTCATATTTGTAAACTTTTACTAACACCCATAAAATTTTATTTCACTTGCACATAAAAACTAGTTTTAAAAAGGGAGTTTTAACGAAAATGACCTGGAACTATTCATTCTTAATTATAAGGACAATTTGTGTATGAAAGGTCGATAATGGATCAAGTACTTTTCTTTATTTACTCTTATGCCATTACAGCGGGGTCCACAAAGATGTTGACATTTCTGTCTGGAAATACATCATTTTACATTATGCTATTAAACTTATGCTAATTTTACAACTAGCTCTTCAGGCTTCCATCATGTTGTCGATGTTACAGCTCTTCTTCTGACAAATTATTCCAATATTGTTTATCGTCTTCTACTAGCTCCGCATCTCTTTCTCTATCTTCTTTCACCTTGTAATATATTTCTGCTGTTTCTTCTTTGAAATTATGCGGCTTCCAATAAGGTTGATGACTGATTCTTGTCTTGCTGTAAATATACATCTCTTCTTCTTCTGCTACTAGTACCATGTCATACCTAAAATCTTCAAACTCATCTAAAGCAAACATTTGGATCCCTCTAAATTTTAAAATATATTTGTATGAAGGAGTCCACCTATGTGAGGAGATAGGGTTTAGTCTAAAGGACTCTTCATTGATCATGGCTATATGCCTAGCTTTCTCCTTATGCATATGTACATACCAATCTGGAGGACTACTAATAAAACTTATGCAAATTTCCTTCCATCTTTCTAGATAATCTTCTGCTACTTTTATAAGTTTTTCAGGAAATGATTCTAATTGAGAAATATGGTTAATAAATATTTTATCGAGATAACCAAACTTTAATAGGAATACAAGAGTAACTTCTACCACATTATGTTTTTCTTGATGCGCATAACTAAAATGCCATGATTTAAAATCTCTCATGTTAATCTTGACCACAGCTACACTAATCTCTGGTTTACAAATACAATTCTCTGTACTATAACTAAGACATGGAGGATACATCTTTGTAATAATATCCATCCCTGGTTTTGGATCAAAGATGGACTGATACAAGGCGCATTGTAATTGTAATTGTAACTCTTTCATGGACTGTGATGCTCTGCTCAGGATCTCATTTTGCATATCTGTTGGCATTATTCTTAGTTTCGCCTTTGAAATTTCTTCTAATAAGACATCATCTAATATTAAGTCTGAAGATATATTCCTAAGAAAACTTTCATATTTTTCTTGTTTTTCTTTGTCACTCAGAACCTGATGCTGATCATTACTTTGATGTTGCTCCATTTCAACGTCTTCTTCTAAGAGCTCAATCTTAATTTTTTTCTATGGGCTCATTAGCCTCTTGTTCTATGGGTTCAATAACCTCTTTTCCTTTATTCTTATAATGATCAGTTTCTAAACCTATTTTTAATTCTCTTTTTAAGGTGTCACTTGCCTTTTGCTGCATTCTAAGAGATTGGAGTTCTTGGTTCATTTTGATAAACTTACCAAGTAATGACTCATGGTCCCTAGAAATGGCTTGAAGATTGTGCTCAAGAGAATGAATATGTTGCTGGTTTTGGTGGAAATTAAAATTAAAGCTATCAAACTCTTGTTCCAAGGCTCTAATTAATTTTTCATGACCTAACCTCATGCTTGGCTGCTTAATTTGGATATTCCAGAAATTATCTAAGAGAACCTGCTGCCTATCAGAAAGCCCTGGTACCCTTGACCTATATCTCAGAGTTGGATTTCTGATTCTTTCAACAATATTGCCATTAAAGTTGAACGTGGGTACTGGTGGTGATGCTGGTCTGCTCATGCTATTTTGAAATCCACTGAATGGTGGAAGTTGATGGTGCATCATCATGTCATTGAAAGAAACTCTTCTGCCTTGCTGCCTTGTGCTATTTGCTGATGATGGTCCACGATATTCCATACCTGTTCAACAAATTAATCTTGATAAGATATCAGCTAATGTATTGTCATTACCTTTTATATGTTCAAAAATTGGTTTAAAACTATTTCCTGTAATTGAATCAACAAAATTAACCCATCTTCGGGCTGCCTGTTTATTAGCATGTATCTTGTTATGATGAGAAACTATATTTTGACAATCTGTTCTAATCGTAAATACTTCATTATGTAAAAATAAAGAAAATGCTTCAAGTGAATTAATTATCCCTAAAATTTCTAAATCTGTTGATGGTAATCTTGACTGTACATCACTAAACTTTCCTGAGGAATATCTACAAACTTGTTCGTTAGACTTTGGAGACTCCCTATGCCTTTTCTGGTATAGTATACCTGCCCATCCTAATGATGAAGCATCTGTTTCGACTATCTTGTAACTATCATCTAATGATAATGTTAATGACTTAAGTTTAGTAATTTCTTCTTTTATTTTTTGAACTAATTTAATATCTTCACTATTAAAATATTTTTGTCCAGTTTTGCTAGTTTTACTATGTAATACTGCTATTTTTCTTCCTAAATCAGGGATAAAATTTCTTGCATAATTTAGCAATCCTAAAAATGCTTGTAACTGTTTCTTATCTTCTAATTTATCTGGAAATTCTAACACCTTTTTAGCTATATGATCTTGTAATTGTATTGTACCTGACTTGATATACATTCCTAAAAATTCTATATCTTGCTTTTCTAATGCTATTTTATTTTTGCTAATTACAATTCCATTATTGATAAATTCTTGTAATACTATCTCTAAATGCTTCCTATGTCCATTTTTATTTTTACTATGTACTAAAATATCATCTACATAAACACTACAAAACTTATCATATTTCTTGAAAATTTAGTCCATCTTTCTTTGAAAGATCAATGGAGCATTTTTAAGTCCAAATGGCATAACGAGCCACTCAAAATGTCCTTCTGGACAAGTAAATGTTGTCCACTCAATTGATTCTTCTGCTAATCTTATTTGCTAAAAACCTGATTTACAATCAAATTTGCTAAAATATTTACTCTCTTGAATTTTGTTTATAAGCCCATTCTTATTTGGTAATTTATAACTATCTTCGTATGTATTATCATTTAATCTCTTATAATTAAGGAAAACTAATGAAAATGACTTGAAAACTTTGAGTTTTAATGATAAGGACAAAATAAAGGGTAAAGTGAACAGTACCGGGTGTGACTTTTTAGTGTAAAAATGTGGTTTTTCATTAAAGTGAACAGTACTGGGTGCTTTTCGTTAAAGTTCCCTTATAATTATAAACTATTCTAGCCTTACCTCTTTTTAATTCCGAATGTTTTCTTACAATAAATGCTGTTAATCTATGTCTAGACTTAGATGGTTTAATTACTTTTAAATTTAACAACTCATTTATTTGCTGCTCAAACTCTTGTTTATCTATTAGACTACCAGACATATCAGCCGTCTTAATGGTTAAATCTGGGTTAATTATATCTAATTTTGCTAGTATTTTATTTTTGCTCCAATGTAACTATGGGTCTTCTCCTATAATCCTAGTTTGTTCTGCTAATTGTAACAATTCTTCTAAACTCTTTGGTCTATCTAACTGTAATATTTTTATATAGGTTATTTCTTCTAAAATCGGGTATTAATGTTCAAAAATGTCTTCATCAAACTCTTCTACGTTATTATGCTCATCATTTTCTTTTGAGTTTTCTAAATGATAACTATATTGGCCACTAGTCTCTTCTATACTTATGTTTTTGTATGCTTCTACAGTATTACTTTGATCAGTTATTGTAATGCCTATTTTGAAAAATGTTATGTTAGGGTTCATAAATAAAAAAACCTTGCAAACTTTTCAAAAAGTTTAATCCTAAAATAAATGGATATGATCCTACTGGTGAAACAAATGTTAATGGTAAATTAAATTGTTGTTTTTCTACTTTAATAAACTCATTATTTATACAATGTGTTAAGTAAACTGGTCTCTCATCAAATTGTGTTATTCTTACTGGTTTCGCTAATTTTTGTCTATATTTTTCTAGTACTAACTCTTCTCTTATGACACTCTTTGTGCTCCCTGTATCTATCATAGCTATGGTTTGTATCTTATGTTCTTTTGCTAATTCTATTTCGCAATTTATAGTGATTAAAGAACTATTTTTTGGTTTTTCTATACTATGAACAATATTTCCTAATATTTCGGATTCTGCTGAATTAACTTCTAATAACCTATTACTATAACATTTTTCACATAATATTGAGTATGTATTATAGTATTTATTTGCAACTAATTTATTACACTTATGACATTTTTCTGGCCAACCTAAATTAATGTATTTATATTCTTTTTCATAATGTTCTTCTATGAATGCACACATATATTCTTCTAGATCACTATTTGTGCTACTTGAATCTTCCGAGTCTGAATCTATCATGTTAATACTCTCTATACTATAAATACTCTCATTATCACTTAAATTATCTAAACTGTATATTGACTGAATATCCTCATCTTCTTCTAACTTAAACAACTCCATCAAATGTACTTTTTCTTTCGACTGTTTACCTAATTTTGGACATTTAGGTCTAATATGTCCAGCTTCTCCACATGAATAACATTTACAACTACTCTTATCTTTTGGTGCTTTATATGTCCTAATCCAAGGTCTGCCACTTCTTTTTCTAAATTGTTTTGGAATATATTTTCTTTTCCTATATGTTCTTGAAGGTCTTATACTGAAATTCTTATGTTGTTTGTAGGGTTTATATGACTTATATTTCTTTTTGTATATTTTCTTATGCTTATTTTTCTTATGGCAACTATACTGTTGTGGTAAATCTATATTTTTACAACTCATGTAAAATTGCTTCCTAATTTGTCTCTTAGCCTTTATTTGACTACACTCTTGTCTAAGTATATCATATACATGTTGAATTCTAGGTCCTATAGCAATATCATTTTTCTTCGAATGCTTTTGCCATTCATTCCAAATCTTTTCACCTATGGGTCCTTTTATTTTTGTCATATAAGTATCTAATAAATTAATATCACTAATTCTACCTGTTCTTCCTAAATATTTAAAGAAATCTGTGGTATACTCAGCTATATATTGTAAATCGTAAATTTGTAATTGTTCTAAATTTCTGATTGCTCTTATTTGTTCTTGTTCACTTCTGCCATCTAACCAATTATGATATAAAAACTCTTGTATAATCAAAGTAACAAAACCATCAATATTAAAATGTGTTTTAGCTGCCTGATGTTGTTCTGGATTTTGAACTTTCCATGACTGGAAATAATCAAAAACTAAACCATCCAAAGTATGTTCAAAGTAATCTAACATGTTTTGTGAATTACTAAAATTTAACATTAATGCTGCATGTACGCAGCCTTTTTCTCATCTCTCAATCGTGCTTTCCCAATCTTGTGGATCTACATTATCTAAATTTAATATATTACCAGCTATATTAATTTGTTCTAACCCTCTCAAATATGGAATCCTATTTTTTCTAGGTTTTATCATACTTTCTTCCATATAATCTACTTTTGCTTTTTCATTATATTGTTCATTTGTTGGTCTTAAAAATTGTTGATCGGTTCTGCTTGCGTGTCCTGGATTTTCTACTCCTGATGTACTACTTTCTTCTGCTGGATTACATTCTGCTTTCAATTCTAATAAATTATTATATTCTTTTGATCCTAAAATGTGTTCTACTCCTATTTCTAAGATTAAAATTTTCATTTCTTCGTCTGAAATTTTATGTAGTCCTAAATCATATGTCTTATATTTTTCCAAATATTGTTCTTCATCTAAATGATCAATATCTTCTATAAGTTTATCTACAATATGATCAAAATTTTGCTCAATTAAATTAATATCTAAATTATCAAAAGCCATATGTATACTCTCATTTTCAATTTCACTCTCATCATCTTCTATTTTTTCTAGTTGCTTATAATTACTAAACCTAATTGTTGCTTGACCTGTACTAGTTTCATGTATTTGTACTTTATCTGGTTGTCTATTTGGTGCTACTTGTAAATTAGGCAATGTCCACTGAGTTCCTTCTAAAAAGCTATTATCTACGAGTTTTGCTTCTATCATATTTACATGTTTACTGCCAAATGTTTGAACTAAATTTTGAAACTCTAAATTAAACTTATGATTATATCTATCAGACACTTTACCTATATACATTAAGCTAATACACAAATTTTTATACTCTCCTTTCATATTATAATTTTTTGTTCTTATGCTCACTTTAATATATTTACTAAATTCATTAATCGTCATAACATAATTTGGAATATAACCTATAACTGCTAAGTTTGAACTTAAGTCTACTTCAGCTGTTGCTATTGCTGCTTGTTGGTGATTATCTCATCTATCATCATATATGTATACTAAAGCTTTTGTACCTACTTGTACTCTAGTTAATCCTGCTATTCCAATTAATATTGTTCCTATATGAATCTGACTAAAATGTGATTTTCTCAAATGAGTAACTGCTTCTTTACTAATTAGATTAAGTGTGACTTCTTTATCAATACAGCTAACTTCATGTTGACTGATGCTGCTTACAATTCTACTTCTGTTTTCAAATAAGCCTAATTGATACAAGTTATATTTATTTTTCTGTGTTCTCTCAAAACCTCTTCGAATGAATTCTTGTGCTTCTTCTTCATTTGGATAAATATCTTCCGCTCTAACTACTTCTTTTCTTTTTTTCCTAAAGAGTTCCATTTTCTATTATCAAAAGGATTTAGCTTAGGTCTTCTATTATTATTTGCACTCAAAGTTAAATTTTCTAATTTATCTAGCAAGGATGGTGGAAGTGATGAAGATGCGTTATGTAAAACTTAGTTTATTTCTGCTATTTGTTCTTCAACTTGATCTAATTTTTCAACTAAACTTAAAACTAATTGGATAATCAAGTTATTTTGCCTAATGAGAATATTACTACTGGATACTTGTGTTGAAAAATATGTTAATCCTACTGGTTCTTTTTCTAATTTACTAATTTCTTTCAAAGCTTGAATATATTTTCTGCTAGTTCTAGAATCTGTCATTAAACTAATACTTTATCTATTTTATTATGCAACTTATCTACTTGTTCACTTAACTCTTTTTGTACTAATTGAATTTTTTGAACTTCTGATTTTAGTTGTTCAACTATTTCTAATGATCTAAGTTCTACTTGCTTCGGCTTACTATCTATAAGATCAACAAGCTCTTTTATCTCTCTTTTGCTTGGAAACCTTTGAATATTTCTATTATTATCTTCTAACTGAGATGTAATATAGTCTAAATTTTGTCTAATTATTTTTATGGAGTTTTTCTGGAAATGTTCTAACAACTGGTTTAATAAATGATTATGCTTATTATTTTCTAATTTTATATTTTCTGCTTGACTAATAATAAGATCTACAATAGTATTGGCTTGTGAATTTTCTTCACTGTGCAAAATATGATTATGCTTTCTTGATGGAAAATAACAAACTAAACTATTTTGGTCTAAAGTTATTTTTCTTTTTTGAGGTTCACTAATTTCTAAATTAAGATAATCTATCATAAACTATAGTCTACCTTTCTCTAGGGTTACGGCTAACTGGTTTCTTAAAAACTCTCTTTCTTCTCTCAATGTCTCTAAAACTTGATCTGTTGTTCTTTTTGCTTCTAAAGCTTTATGCTGCACTTCTGTGTTATTATATTTACGAATAAATGAAGGATGTTCAAGATAGCCAAGGTAAAACTTTGCTTCTTCAAAGTACTGATAATTCTTTTGGATTATATGTTAATATTCTCTTTATGCTAGTTATAGTTGGATGTCTGGGACAATAAATACCTGGTAATTGTGGTTGATAAGATCTACAGGGACAATAATATCTGTTGTTCATACACAATAAACAAATATGATATCAGTTGTATCAATGACTTCTATCCTCAAGGTACTTTACTATTATGCTTATATTATTAAAATGCTAAACTTGGCTCTGATACCAAATTCGAAACGCATGCTCGGTTAAATAGTCGGATGATCATTATAACAACTAGACATAGAACCTTGCACATGGAACTCGACATGTTTCAGCATGACGGCCACTCACAGTACAAGTATAAGGCCTTAAAGGCTGAACTTAGAGGTACGAAGAACTCAGAGGTACCCTGGTTAATGTCCAGTTATTTGTATGGCAAACATTCAACTATAACAAAGTGCTTGAACAAAGTATGATCGTCAGTTTAGTAGGTTAATAATATAACCACAATAGTGTTTCCTTGTTTTGGACTAGAAGTCTAATTAAACAAACACACTAAGTAAGGAAAAGAAAACTTACTTAAGACTTGGAGATTGCTTGAATATGTACACTTGAACTTTTATTGATATATGGAATGTTTACAGAGATAGTTGTTTACAAGAAAGTGATTACAAAGAAGTGTTTACAAGGATGCTATGAAGGCTACGAATGCTAGAGTGTATGAAGTGAGTATGGTGTTTTCAGATGTTGAGAGAGTTGTGTGGTATTTAGGTGTGTTCTGTATGGGAGGAAAGGCTCCCTTATATACAAAATCTAAATCTTCAAAGACAAAATAACATTTCATCTATTTACAAATTTTTGAATAGTGACAGCACATTGTTTCTGAAAACTGTCAGCACTGTTTCTGAAAGCTGGCTGTCTTGTCTTTGCTTGAATGTTATGTGAATTTATGTTGTCTGGTTGCTGCAGTGTTTGCCACATTTTCTTTTGCATGTGAATCTATATTGTCTTGGTTGTTGCAATGTTTGCCACATATCCTTTTGCATGCAAATGCTTTCTGAAAATGTCAATCTCCTTTTTCTTCTTTTGGATGTATCCACATGAACTTTGCATAAAACTGACCCAATCTTGTACATATGTGTGAAGGGTAGGATCGGCATTTTTGAAAAAATCTGTCCTGATGATTAAAATTAAAGTTTTGAGGGTGTTTTGGTTAGTTTTCCATTTTAAAAACAAATTTACCCATGAAATTAGTTACATAAGAAAAATGTAGACTTATATAAAGAAATAGAAAAATCAAAACACCAAAACACCCTGCCCGTTGGGCAAGGGCAATACAATGGCAGTTACTATTCACTACAAAAACTAATTGTTTTTTATAGGAGTGCATTTGTACTATTTTGTTCTCTTATTTATTTGCATTTACTTGGTTAATTTTCATTTGTTATAGTGTTTTATGTTATTGTCATTTTATTATAGGTCCATTTGATAAAGCTAACAATTGGAAGTTAAATACAGCAAATAGCAGCAATTTTGGACTTGGATTGGATAGCATGTGTGAACTACACAAGGGCTAGACATTTTTGAAGTTTAAATGGTGTTAAACATGTGCCAAAATCTGGAGGATTTGAAGTTGAGAAAGACAAGGAATTGAATGAGGAGGAAGAGTTCTAGTTGGAGTGAAATACTAACTAGAAATAAAGTCGTGATGAATGAAGAAAAGTAGTTGGAGGATTAAAAATTTACGGATTAATAGATTATTTGTTTTTGTCATATCCTCAAAGTGAATGTTTTGAATTTTTCATAGTGTTCATATTAATGCAACTTTTGTTTGTGTGCCAGCTTTAAACTGTGATAAATGGACTCTATTAAAACGATGAGATTTACAAGATTTGTTGGTAAACAACAATCTCAATAAGAATTTGGCTGAATTCCAACGTTTACTATACCAAGATGAAATTTTAATATTTTAGGATCTTACATTTTTTTTTTTTTTTGTGTTTACTTTCTTTCCCATTTGCATTCCTACGGTTTTGTAGAGTTAAGTTACATTATAAATAGTTCATCTGGACCTTAAGTTTGTAATCAATTAAACTTTTAGAATTTTTTTTTATTTCCTCACAGATTCCGAATTGCTAATGAACTTCAGCTTATTTGCTAGTAGATTCTAGTGTGGGAATTTTCTTTGATTTTCTTTGTCATATATCCGCTGCGTCACACAGCTCTAGACAAAATTACATAACCAACAAACTAAAGTAACAAGATGTGCGCACAACTTAAATATTTATTAAGAAACAATCATGAATGTATATAGGATATGCACGTCAAACACAACCAAGAGGCCACACGTGCCAATATGAACACCACAATATCACAAGTACAAAAGCACCAACAACACGATACAATTCCTCAACAGTGGGGAACCCACATCTAACCTCGCAACACTCGCGAGGACTGAACCATGGAAGTAGTAGAACCACAACCAAAAAAAAAAAAAAATTATGAAGAAAAGACCGCACACCCTTTGATGATTTTGCAACTCTCAGTATAAAAGCACTACTCTTGAGTTACCTCCAACAAACGCCAAGCGTCCTCCTCGTAGTCTTTGTCATGCGTATAACCCAAATGAAAAACAAAAGTCACCACCTTAACTCTGAACAACAACCACTGCTCAAAGAACTGAGTTTGATGACTAAGGCTAGGGTTTGGAGTTTTTCTGGTATCAGCAGCATTATTGAATACATAAATTCGAGTCCTCAAATAAAAAAAGAATGTGAACATATGCGGCAGAATACAAGGGATTTAGCTCAGAGAGATTTATCAGTATACCGGGTACACGTATCAGTACACCAAGTGTCATAATTTAATTTAAGAAAAAATATTTCTTTTCAAGTATCCATCCACTTATATTATGACCGAATCGTGTTCCCATTTTACTAAAGAAAAAAAATCTAAAAATCTCCTTACCTCTACAAGCTGCAACCCATGGACTAGACCTAATGTAGGTTTGCATTTTGGGCATAAATTAACTTTTCTATTAACCCTTCTTAAGAAAACAAAAAAAAACTTAGAAATGTAGAAAAGCATAAAATTCAGAACCATTTACATGAAAACGGTAAAACGAGAAAAAATAATTAACACAACTAACCTCAGGAGTGATTTTCCATGACTTTTCTAAATAGTTCCTTTGGAGCTGCAATTGACATTTTTTTTTTTTATATAGTAAGAGTCAATTAAATAGATACCATGTTGTTGGTAGAATTTTAAATTTTCCTTCAATATAGATTATTGTTACCTGGCAATCCAGTGAACTTCTCAAACTGTTCATATGCCTGTCCTATGAACATCTCCAACCCACTCACAATTGTGACACCACATTCTTCTGCTTCCCTCAACAGTCTCGTCATTTTTGGGGTGTAAATGGCGTCGAAAACCAATGAATAATATTTCAGAGCATGCTGCAAAAATAGAAAAGGTAGTCCACTCGAATCATGATTTCTAGTGTCCGTCGATGATCGTTTTAAGAAAAACTTGTGTGAGGCTGTTCTTCTAACATGACAGTACTCGGCCGCACAGTATTCCAGTTAAAAGATCCCCAAGATAAGATCACATGTACAAACTTTTAATTAATACGAGGCCAACTGATCGTATCGGTAATGCAGCAATAGAAATGTGAGAAGCACAAACCTTGGAAAGGGGTGTGTCACCAACGTTCGGTTGCATTCCAATCGATGTTGTGTTTGCAAGAATCATGCCATCCTCTGGAGGGATATTGCATAGATCAGCAAGAGATACCGCGTCACCACCTACGGTGTCTGCAAGTTCTCTGGCTCGATCTTCATGAGCAAAGTAAATATATAAATAAATCGATATATATCAAGAACGAATAATTAACCTCAATGTTTCTTTCTATAAGACATTTATAACCTAAGTGACGAATAATTATTTAGAGGCTTACGAATGTAGATTGTAGAGCAATAGTATGTGCAAACCATCAATGAGGAAGAATACATGAATATGCCAGTGAATGAAATGGTCTGAAAGCAAGCACAGAGAAGAACACGAAAACGAATAGTTTATGGAAGATAGAAACAAAGACAGAAGTAAACCATATGTGCGATTGGCAATTAGAATCCTTGCTCCCTTCTGCTTTGCACCATAGGCAAGTGCCTTGCTTGCACCACCAGCACCGATGACAACAAACAGCCTACCAGCTAAAGGGGAACCAGTTACACTGCCAGCATTAGGCGAACCTGTAAAAGGAGATTCATGTAAACCTACGGAAAGGTTCTTACAATCACAAACATGGAAGAGAGCGTAGAGCTAGCTTCTACAAAATATATAGGAAACCTAACCTTTCAGACCTTCCTCAATAGCAGAAATTGCACCAACATAGTCCGTATTGAATCCATATAGCTTCCCGTCAGTTGGTCTCCTTATAATGCAGTTAATAGCTCCGATTGACTGAATATTTTCGATCAAGAGATTCAATTCAATCAAGTACAAGTAGTACAAGTCGAGAAGAAAGTTGATATATAAGCAATTTAAAAGAGGTCAGCCAACTCCTCCAAAATAAACTGCTAGCATCTTAGTATGATAATTACCTTTGCAACTGGATCAACCTCATCACAGCACTTAACTGCAGCTTCCTTATGAGGAATACCAACGCTGCGTCAGAATTGAAGATAAGAAGCTGTGATATTGAAGGAAAATGTCCGACAACAAAATGTACATGGATATTCTACTATTTAGACACTAAAATACTCAACATAAAATTGAACCTGAATCCAGCAAAATCCATGCATGAGTATGTCTGGAAAAATTTTGCAATATCATCTACCAACAAATGTGCATAAACACCGTTGAAACCGACTGAATTGAATACTTCATTGTACAACTTTGGTGATTTGCTGTGACTGACAGGCTTGCTGATGACTCCAAACACTTTTGTGTCGGGCCCTATCTGTCTGAAATTGTATAAATGTAATAGATCCTTGACTGTAGGTTGAGTAGGAGCAGAAATTATTCCAGACTCCAACCTACCATAAGTAAGATAACCGCCAAATTTTGCAGAAAGTATCCGTGAAATCAAACCCCTCTCGCCCAGTACAAGTCCTATAAACGGAACCTGAAATTCCAGGAAGGAGTAAATTTTCATTTGGATAAGAAACAGATACCTTAATTATTTAAGTTAAAGGAATACAGAAACAGGGAATTTATCTCTAAACAGCCTGATATCTAGTATCTACTCAGCACAGAAAATTCATAACACAAAACTAGACAAGTTCTCAAGAATCTGCAGTCTCCTTGATCTACATAAACGAATAATTATATATGCACACACATACACACAATCCTTACTTGAGAATGAACGGTTATTTGAAAAGTGCGTGCTACATCTGTTATATCCAGGGAAGTGGTTGCAATCTTCACTATGTCAGATCCAGTAGCTTGTATTCTTGCTACAAGATTGCCAAGAGCCTCCACAGATGGGGTATCTTGAAAGTTGTGAGAAGAAACAATGACTTTTAAAGTTTCTGGCCTCTTTCCATTTATAGAGTCGATGAATTCACGAGCAACCTTCAAAAAGAAGTGATTAGATTAGTAATAGGTAATCTTTATGATAATTTTAAATTGGAAATGCAAAGAAGCAAATTTCCTAGTATGTTTGTGATGATGGTACTGATAAGAGTAGCTTATCTACATTTTAGGTGGAGGTGAATGTGCAGCCCTTCTTCATCAATATTATTTCAAAGAACCAGCTGAGTTATAACTAGCAGTGTGCACAAAAACGACATCAGTTGTTTTCAAGAACAGAACACTTGCAGTAAGCCTCTTTTTCAGCCATGAGATACGACGACCAAATTTTTTATCTCTTTGATGATTGTGTAACTTGTAAGAATTGTAAAGTTATAATGGGAGAGAGCCTGGTTAACCAACATCGCATGTTGGTGATGGATGCACATATCAAAATACATAGAAGAAAGAACAAGACCTTGAAGTGTCCAAGAACAATATGGGGGAATCTAAAAGGAGAAAAACATGTCACTTTCAAAGAGAAAGTACTCGCCCAATGCATTGGGATACAGAAGGAAATACTAGCCATATGTGGGTTCCATGGCTAGTTGTATCCTAAAAGTTGCAAAAGCAGTATTGGGAGAGTCCAAAGCTTTTGTTCCACATCAAAAGTAATTTTGGTGGTGGAAGGAGAAGGTACATGAAAAAATTTAGGCTAAGAAGGAATGTTGTAAAGCCTAATACAAGGATACAACCCATGAAAAGTGTGAGAGGTATAAGATAGTGAAGAAAGAGACGAATAAAGCCCTGAGAGAAGCGAAGTTAGCTGCTAATAAGCGATTGTATATCAAAGAAGGGGAGTTGGATATCTATAAACTGGCTAGAGCAAGGGAAAGGAAGACAAGAGACTTGAACCCAACAGGGTGTATGAAGGATGAGAAGGAAATGTTCTAGCTACGGAGAACACGGTTAAAGACAGATGGAGAGCTTATTTTTATAATCTATTCAATGACGAGCACGAAAGGAATACTTCTTTGGTTGAGTTGAGTAACTTGGAAGAGTGTAGAAATTACTTTCTGCTGCCAAATTAGGAAAGAAGAAGTGGTTGTAACTCTAAAAAAGACAAAGCATAGAAAAGCAGTGGGTCCCAACAATATACTTATTGAAGTGTGGAAAGTCTTGGAAGAGACAAGTATAGCATGGTTCACAAACATTTTCAATAAGATTTTGAAAATGAAGAAGATGCCAAATGAGTGGCGAAAAATCAATCTCGTACCCATCTACAAGAATAAGGGCAACATACAAAATTTCATGAATTATAGGGGTATTAAGTTAATGAGTTGTATAATAAGCTTTGGGAAAGAATAATTGAGTATAGATTGAGGCAAGAGACCCAATCTCAAACAATCAATTCGGGTTCATGCTAGGTCGCTTGACTGTGGAGATAATCTATTTCTTACGAAGATCAAGGGAACGATATAGAGATATGCAAAATGATTTGCACATGGTCTTTATAGACTTGGGAAATAACATAAGACAGAGTCCCAAGAGAAATTCTTTGGAGGATTCTTGCGAAGAAAGGAGTACGAATTGCATGTATGGTGGAGCAAGGATTGCAGTAAGAACTCATAAAGGACAAACTGAAAGTTTTTCCATAACCATAGGGTTACACCATTGCTTAGCTTTATGTCCTTACCTTTTTGCATTGGTAATGGATGAGTTAACGGGACACATTCCAGATGATATCCCCCAGTACATGCTTTCCGCAAATCATATAGTATTGATAGATGAAACGCATGAGGGAGTAAATGTGAAGTTTAAGTTTTAGCTGGAGGTGTTCGAATTTAAAGGTTCTCGCCTAAGTAGGTCAAAGACGGAGTACATGGAATCTAAAGGTCTTCACCTACGTAGGTCAAAGGCATAGTATATGGAATCTAAATGTCTTCGCCTAAGTAGGTCAAAGACATGGTACATGGAGTCCATGTTCAGCGGGAATGGGGTCCAAATGAGATAGAGGTGAACATTAGAGATCAGGAAATACCAAAGAGTGAACGTTTTCACTATCTTTGATCTATCTTCCAAAAGAACGGAGAATTGGTTGGAGATCTTAACCATATAATACAAGCAGGATATGTGAAATGGAAAAGTGCATTGGATGTGTTGTGTGATCATCACATGCCACTAAAGCTCAAGAGAAAATTTTATCGAACGACAATAAGGCCAGCAATACTGTTTGGATCAAAACTTGAACTTTGGGCTTAGGAAAGGGCCTGGCCCAAAGGGATGCCTAAAGGAGAGTCGGCCTAAGCCCAGCCAAAGCCCAGAAAGCAGAAAAGGGGCTTTTCTGACTTGGTGCAGCTCATGAAGACCACTTGCTCACCTACCCAAAAGCCAAGTGGTATAGACTGACCAGCTATACAGCCCATAAAGTACTTTATAATGGCAGAACAAGTAATATAGCTGATGAGTCACTACCTCTCAAGTTGCATTCGGGCAGGGCTGCTGCTATAAGAGGCCAAGCTGAGATGTCTATAAAAGAAGAAAGAGAAATCAGAATTAAGGACACTCAAACAAACAAACAAATGCAAGCACAAACTCTGCTCACAGCCAGATTTGCCTTCAGAACGAAGCTGTAGCAGCCCAAGCCTTCATCCCTCTCGGGACAAGCCTTCACTCAAACCCTTGTAATAGCTCTGCTACCCTGTTCAACCTTGCTGTAGTATCAATTTCTCTTTGTAAAACTCCTCTCTTTACCTCTCCCTAAAAGCTCTCAGACACTCAAACAAACAAACAAATGCAAGCACAAACTCTGCTCAAAGACAGATTTGCCTTCAGAACGAAGCTGTAGTCAGCCCAAGCCTTCATCCCTCTCGGGACAAGCCTTCACTCAAACCCTTGTAATAGCTCTGCTACCCTGTTCAACCTTGCTGTAGTATCGATTTCTCTTTGTAAAACTCCTCTCCTTACCTCTCCCTAAAAGCTCTCAGACCCTTGATAAGCCACAAAGATAGGAACCTGCAAGACGACCAAACTTGCCCGACCTTCTTTGTTTTTTGTCTTTTCATTCATTAGCCTAGCAATATGTTGTATACTTCCAGTTGTATTCAAGTTATTTCTAGTAAGATGACTATTAAAAGAATCTCTTAATGCTGGGATCCGATTTGAATATATCTTCATTGTTCAAACCAGATCTAAGTTCTAAGCCCTCGGGCATGTAAATTTGATCAGTTGAAAGTCCTTGGCCTCAAGGCATAAAAAAGAACCTTATGTGGACTTAACCCATCCACGATAACCCTTGATAAACAAGAAGTCCGAAGTTACTTGGGGCGCAAGTAATCGACCTACCCCTTAGTTTTATTTCTATTATATTATGATTATCATAGAACGCTTAAGCATGGAACGGATTCTGATAGTAATCCTCAAGGCCTACACCTAAGGCCCCACAAAGGCACCTATTTGGATTCATTCCATTCCGCGGCCTAGAATGTTTGAGTATAAGAACGAATTCTGATGGGAAGCCTCAAGGCCTACACCTAAGGCCCCACAAAGGCACCTATTTGGGTTCGTTCTATCTCTCAGATTCGGGTAATCAGAAGTACAATAGTTGTAAGGCTCCTACAATCAATCGAACGAATATTATATGTTTGAGCACTGGTTTAGTTATTGATGGGAAGCCTCAAGGCCTACACCTAAGGCCCCACAAAGGAACCTGTTATAACTAACACGGTTTCTCGGGCATACGAGAATGTTGGGCGGTCAAGCATCACCACGTGCAAAAAATGAGTGTAGCAAACATGAGAATGCTTCATTGGATGTGTGGGCACACGAGAAAGGACAGGATTAAGAACGAGGATATCCGAGGTAAAGTAGGAGTGGTGGCAATTGAAGATAAAATAAGAGAAAATCGGTTAAGGGGGTTTGGATGTGAACCAAAGACCTACAAATGCTCCGGTTAGAAAATGAGATTATGAGATAGAGGTTTAGGGCAAAAGGGAAATAGGAAGATCTAGGAAGACTTGGAAAGAGACTTTAAGAAAAGACATGGAGTCCTTGGAGCTATCAGAAGACTTGACGCAAAACCGAGCTCAGTGATGTTCTAAAATTCATATAGCCGACCCCACTTTGTGAAATAAGACTTGATTATTGTTGTTTTGATGGTTTTTACCAATGTTCACCTAGTTTAAATGTGGTGTTGTTATGATGGTTTTTACCTGCGTTCACCTAGTTTAAATCTGTTAAGTGTTTTTCACATGCATTTTAAAAGTACAATTCATCCCAATAAACGAAAAAACAGAAAAGTATCAAATGGAAAATGGGTCCATTAGAATTTCCCTATTGCCATCACGTTAAACTTATGAAGATCCAACCGTGGCAAATAACATAAATGACTTAAAAGTGTACATTTGTAAGAGAGCAACCTGAAGCTCGACATCAATGTAATCAGCTCCAAGCTCCATCGCTAATCGAAGTGCATCCAGTCGAGTTTTTTCATCACCATCGTACTGGCCACCTTCCCATATTGGCCTACAAAAGTTCATAACTGTCAGCTGATAGTACAAGACAACTGGGAGATTCTTAGGGGAGGAGATCACAAAGCAAGCTTTCAAGAAATTAATTAAGATCGAAACAGAGTATACTGCTAAAAAGAATCTATGCAAAACTAGTTGAAGAAAGTTGAGGTTTCACCATAAAACCGATTGGCAATATTGGAGAGTAGCCCAACCTATTTATAAGCCCATGCAGAGCCCCTTCTCATCAACGCGAGATTCATTCTCAACACTAGTGACATTACTTAATGATTCGATTCAAGTAGTCCAACTCCTACCGAAAATGTTTTAAAAGGCAGGAAATGTCTCACCTATAACTGAAAAGTGTCGGCAAAGGGCACTCTTTCACTAGACGCTTGAGATCTTGATTGTGATTGAAAACCTTCAAACAATCCAATCGAATCTCCACAAGGTCAGCACCAACGGCTTTTGCCTCGCCCATATCGATCACCATCTGATCGACAGTCTCTGCCATTATCGGAACACAAAGTAAGGTCGAGTTCCTCGCCCTCATCCCGTTACCTTTCACTTCCAGTCCATCAGTACCAGCAGCAGAAGAAGAAGAATCAAGCTGATCAAAATTCAACCAAAACAGAAGACTGTCAGTGAGATCCATCGTAAAACCAACTACTTATAAGCACATGCAAGCTCATTTTTTTTCCCTGACTTGGAATTCATACTCTCAACCGTCAATAACAACACAAAATACGATTCCTATATATCTTCATTTTCCATTCGATCTCTATATCTGATAGGATGTTAACTAAGAAAATTCAGGAAACTTTTTGTTAAGTTAAACATAGTCAGTCAGTAAACCTCCTCCATTTTGGCAGCTGAGTAAAACTACTCAAAAGTAAAGGAGGAAGATTCTGGTGAAGTACTTTTTTACTTTTCTAGTTAAAAGATGTTGGGAGATAAAACATGAGTGGAGGATCCAAGGTAGTGTTACCGTAATGTGATGAGATTGCATTGTTCTGTTGGGCCAAATGTGCAGCTGCTTTTGCTGCTCCTCCTTCCTCTTCCAAATGCCTGGTCCGTCAAGTTTGATGATAGAGAGAGATTCTCCGCCAATCAATGTTTTGAAATGTATGCAGGTATGTCTGTCTCAGAATGGATAGTAGTTGGGCAGTGCACGTCGCTTCTTTAAAGAGAGATTGCTTGTTTAAACTGCAACTAACAGGTACGACTCGTGTTTGTGATTTAATTGCAGAAATGATCAATTTTTAATAACCACGATATATTGATAACTTAATAATGCTAAATGATAATATAACAATGACACAATAAATACTGATCATTTCTACCACTAAATATCAAAAACCTAATCATTTCTACTAATTTTTTTAACAGTGTAAGAAGAGGGTGATTTGAACACTCTAACTCTTTTGAAGTTTAATAGATACGTGGCACTACATGATTCGAGTGTCGGATTGTTTCATTATCCTTGTTTTGGACAAATGGGCTCTGCTAATTATTGTATGGGTTCTTCCTCTCCTCGTGAATCCCATGACTCTTTACTGTTGCTGCCGGGTAGGTGGCAAATCATATCATACCATAAAGGTGCTTCATGCGATAAACTTGTCTCACCGGGATACATATCAGAAGAGTGCGTCATGTGTAAAACTTGTCTCACCGGCTGTACATATCTACTCCTTATACTGCTCCTCGTTTGGTTGCCCGTATAAGAAATCAGATAGGGTAAGTAATACAGTCCTGGGTGTTTGGTGTGATTATATACTAAATAGTCGGCCCAACGATACGCTCTCTCTAGCTTCCTCCCTGTCTCGCTTTCTCTCTATTTCCTTCTCCGCTCGTCTCCTGCACATCAAAATGCGAATACTCAGCTACCCACCCTACGTTGCAAGTGACGGCGAGAGCACCATCCTCTCCCTCACCATCAGCCTAATGATGCGAAATTTATTAAGCACACAAATTAAACCCTCTTTTTATCAAATTGTAGCAAAGATGTAAGTAGGGATCGTTCTAGACCGGGGATTAGGAGGGATTGCTAAACACTTGGAAACTGACTTAAAAACTCAGAAACAAAGTTTAAAACACTAAACTAGACTCAAAGAATGCAAAACTAAAGTTTAAAACACTTAAACAAACCTAAAACTCAAAACAGCAACTAGAAGGCTCAAAACTGCCTAAAAACCACTTTCTGGGCAGTTCTGAGCACCTACACTAATTTGGACGAAATTTGATGAAAACTTGAATCAAAATACTTAGAAACACAAATCAAAACACTTTCTAACTAATATAAGACTTCAAATTAAAGGGGGATTTTGTTTTGACGAAAATTAAAATAAAGAAAACAGATTGGAAATAGGGCAGATTGTAAAAACGATTTTGGTGAAATAGATGGATAAAAGGCTAGTTAGGAGGTTCTTCTCCACACATGTCACACTTGCAAACAAAACGATTTTCAGTTGATCTTCCAATAAATTATGAATACTCAATGCCCCAAATTAACCGTGAATTGCACTAATTAACCCTCAGTTTTTCCATAAGTTATCAAGTTGGATGATTGCATACGACAACCCAAAACATTCCCTACAAGTTCCCTACATGAATTGCATAATAGAGATACAAGCAAGAATCATTACGTTCTATGAAAAACATAAGCATTGACGAAGCATTTGTTACTATGAATTGCATGAAACTTATGCTAAGAATTCATTCAACGCGATCGTTTTCAAGCGATCTTCACTACTTGTGATTATAAGATTGTAACTATTAGGTGAAACTCCCTCATAATCTAGCATCATATTCATGCATGAAAACTAAGCGTGCACTCTCAATCAACATACACAAATAAGTTATCAATCAAGTAGATGAACGAATTGAATCCACAACTTATGAAATAACAACTGAATGTAATCAAATCATATTGCAAGCATGTACATGGTTTCGAATCACCCCTAACTATGGGGGTTTAGTTCCTCATACTCACAACATAAAGTTTATTGAATTGAAACATCGAAGACATAAGAAAGATTACACCTAAAACGACCAAGAATTCCACTTTGAATTTCTGACTTCAAGCTCCTCTTTCTTCTTCTCCTTGCTGCGGCAGAGAGGGTTTAGGGTGTTTTTGGGTGTGATTTTGGTTTTAGAAGGGAATTAGGATGGTATGGTGGTGCGGCAAGGAGTGGGGATGGTGCATGGAGGTGTAGGATGGTGGCTAGAGGTGGATGAAGGCTGCTGCGGCAAGGTTGGGAAGTGGCTGGAATGGATGAAGGCTGCGGCAAGGAGGTGTATGGGTGATGGTGGCTGCGGCAAGGTGGGGGAATAAGGGTTGGATGGTTTCTGATTTGTGGAGAGGGAGAGATCATGCGGCAAGGTGTAAAACACCTATATATAGGCACCTAAAACCCTAATTAAATCAGATTGGGCTAGGGTTAGGTGCGGCTACCTCAATGGACTAGGGTTAGGGTTTGTAAAATAGGGCTTCTAGGATGGAAAGGTGCGGCATGGGCTTAGGGTTTATAATCAGATTTTTGCATGTGAACAAGGCCTAGGTGCGGCTGATTAAGTGGCTAGGGTTAGGGTTTAGGTGCGACATAGGTCCAAGAAGTAAGGATGGGTCATCCAAAAGCCCAAAGCCGAGAATAGAAACTCACGAAAATGGAAACCTCCAAGAATAGAAACTTCCAACTTTAGAAACTTTGGTTGCCAATTCCGATTTAGGAAAGATCAACCCAAAATGGAAACTTTTAGGCTTAGCTTTCCTACTTGAAGTAGGAAACCTCAAATCTTCAACTTCTTCAATTCCATCCCAACCTTGTGTTCCAAGCATGTCCTTTTCAATCCAAGCTCATATTTTGCTCCAAAAGCTCCAACTTGCATCATTTCATGTAATATGTCCTTTAAACCTGAAAACACATGAAAGTAGCTTAAAAGACTACTTTAACGAAGAAAACATAACAAAGATGCATAAGAACTAGCTAACTAAGGCGCATAAATATGCTCCTATCAAATTCCCCCACACTTAGCTTTTGCTAGTCCTCGAGCAAAACAAACAAAAGAAAGAAAACAAAACGAAACAAACTAACCAAAACAAAACCTAAACCTTCCAACGTTTGCCTCAGGGATTTCCAATGCACATGACATGTTAAAGATTGCTATCCCCACAGATTTGAGTCATCTTTACACAAGCACATACTTAATTAAAGCCACCACTTACTAGTTCACAAGTAATCAATTAAAACAATGCTTTGAATGTAGTAACATGCCTTAGAGAATTCCCTCAATTCCTTACAAGATATACACTCTATTTTCACTCAGATTTTCTAACTCCACACCCTACACTAGTTATATGTGAGAAGATTGATGTAGATATGAAAACGAATGCTCACATATATGTTTCACAAAGAACGCAATTTCTAGAGTTAAGAAGCATGTTTAGATATGATCTCATGAATGGAATGCTACTACTTAGATGCGAGAACCAGTGACACCATATGCTCATACCAAATTCAAACTCCACAGATTGAAACACATAACACTCAAGATAGAAGTTAAGGGTTGTAATGGGGCTCGGGGTATTGGTTAACAAGGAAAGGATAAGGAAAACAAACGTTCTTCAAGCGATAGTAAGCAAGCAATGAAATTGAGACTTAGAATTCACTTAGATTGCAGAAATTAACTTTAACACACAAGGGGGATACTTAAACAACTCCTTAGGGTCAAATTCATTGTTTTGGACCCTTACTTCAACCAACAATACTTTGGAAGTCTTTGTCTCAACTTTTCAACTCTTTTTTTCATACTTCTCATACTTTTTCTTCATTTTTTTCTTTTTCCACGAATTTTTTTTTCTTTTTTTTTTCTTTTCTTTCCACACGTGCCTATGGCACACAAAATCACAAAAGAAATACTTCCCCCACACTTGTTTTCTGCCAACATAAATCAAAAGGAATTCAATTTGAATCATGCTTTACTATGCTTTAAGAACAAGGTATGGATGGTCCTAATCTAGGCTAGGTGAGGATAATGTGGGTTAACAACAACATAGGCTAAACAAGGCTCAACGGGGTTAAACTTAAACATAAAATGATATGGGATACACGGCAGTTTGGCTAAGGTGGTGGTAACTACACAACTTTATCTTGAATATGTGTTATGCAAATCAATAACATGCTTTGAATGAAATGGGCATGAGTTCTAGCATTTGGAACTAAATGATGAAACGCCTTCTAAATAGTAACCAAGCAAGGAATAATGAGATCATGCAACGACTTAGAAAACAAAGAATGCACAGATTTTAACTCTCCAAATAAACGTTTAGGCTCAAGTCTCACAAGGTTGTAGCGTTAGTTTGAGTTCCTTCCTTCAAGCATGTTACAAAAACTGATTTTTTTCTTTTATGATTGCATGTGAATTCATAAGTTATAACCACAACCAAGCATAAACAAAGAGTAAATCAAACTTTCATCCATGTTAATCACTCTCTTTAACAGTCATGCACTTAAAAACCAAATCCTCATCATTGTGTTGGAAGGTACCCTAAGACACAAACAAACACACAAAAACAACTCTTTTTGGGTTTTTAAAACAAAATTTTCAAATTTTTATGTGATTTTCGGATTTTTACTTCAAAACACACTAAAACACACCAAAACTGCTCAAAAACACTTAAAAACAGCAAGGAACAAGTCTCCAAGTTAAGGGTGATAAAATCCCACGAATTTGCATTTAAAACACTTAGTTACCCCCCACACTTAAATCAAACATTGTCCTCAATGTTTCAAGCATAAAATCACACTAAACAAAAAGAAACACACAAACAGCAGCTAAAACAACTAAATAGGCAGATTCGAAATAAATAACAAAGTGAAGAGTTTAGGAACGCAAATCTGGAATTGAAGTAATTCCTTGGTCTTCCTTTGTTGAATTGCATGGGTTGCCTCCCAAGTAGCGCTTTCCTTAACGTCGTACAGCCGGACGAAAAACACAATCATGCCCCATTGGAGCCCACGGCATGGAGTGGGATCTCCTCCACAACCTGCCCCACAAAGTTCTTGTACATTGCATCCTTGAACGGAAATGGATAGTGATTTTTGTTGATGGGTGCGTTGTGTTGCCTAAGGTTCATGTTCATGCGCCCACCATCGGAGATTTGCTTGGGTGCCTGCACCAAAGAAGGAAACCACCTATCAACTTTAATGGGAATTGGATTTGGACTAGGTGCCTTACCTTGGT